GTCTGTGGGTCTCTGTGTGGTCATCGTGTGGACATTCTGATTCCCACCATAGGAATGTGGAATTTCCACCATCGGCTAGGGACCACTAACGGAGATGAGCAGAGTTCAGTGAGCCTTTGAAAGTGGAGAAACGGTTACTTTGAAGTCTAAGTTTGGCATAGCTGCCGTCTTTACTGTCGCCTGCTTAACTCTTTTTTCTGAGATGAAGAGTGGGGAAATCAGCTCGTGGTTTTTAAAACAATTGTGCCTGTACCATTATTCCATTCATATCATACGTGCCTTTCTCTACTCGTGCATATGGGTCATTAGAATAACACCACGGGTGAATACTTTTGACACGAATGAATTTACTACGAAACATAAATGAGGAATGATATTAAGCAGACCGAATTTATCATCATTCTTACAGTTTCTATTATTTACTCAAGTGAAAACAATTCAACATACAAAATGGTAAGCATAAACAACTATCAAAGCAATGCATCTATCTCATATACAGTATGTGCGTCAATAGATGTGAGCTTATTGAAATGCCATGTATTTTTTCCGGAAGAATTTGGAAACATTTAATCTGTAACACTGATATAACAAGTCACGCAAAACATAAAATAGATATACTGTTGATATCCATCACACACTGTTGCTGTAACAACAGTCATAGTTTTATTACAACTCACGGCCACTGGAAAATTAACCAATCTGAATTGCCATGCATGCACTTTTTTTAACTACAATTCGTAGACAGTCGTTCCTTCCTTTGTCTCTACAACAAACATCTCTTTAGTACCGGCGCTCATAGTGGAAAATCGTATACAAATTCATACATTTGTTAACATTATTCACCCTTGGAGTGTGCACGACCATCATGCACAGTTTTAACAACACGGTTGCCAAAGACCAGCGACACGCATTGTTGTTATCAGAGATCTAGGAGCCAGCTGCTTTGATGTTTATGAGTTTAACATTTTACGTTGTGGCAATGAGAACCACTGTCACATTTGATGGCCCTTCCAACGTGGTTCCCGTACAAAACGTGTGCTCGGCGTTTACATCATTCTCCACACAGCGGTGTGCATGACGAGAAAATTAATTTGTCTAGACGCGAGTCAACAATCACAGCAGTATTTTGTCGTACATAGGGCTCGTCCTAAACAGGAGGGACGTGTGAACGATGGTATCGATAATCGAATATGTATAAACTTTGACCTAGGTAACAAAATGCGACTGAAAATGTTCATGAACAATCAGTATGTTCTAAACTGTCTTCTCATTCCGATATTTTTTTTATTGAGTTACAAGTTTGGAAGAAAAAAAAAGCTTTAACGTGAAGAAAAATCTGATTGCCGTGTTGGGTAGTTTTTGCGAAGTCTTGAGGTCTGGTTGGGGGGGGGGGTGCATACCAAAATAATTGTCCAATTCACTGCTGATTGAAGGCTTCCCCACAACATGTTTGTCATGGTTGTTGTTTGACTAGGCCCTCACTACACTGGTCATTGCAGGTTGATGAAGGGGAGCCAAGGCTGGCTCAAGTGTCGCCGCATCGCGAATGTTAAACCTCGGGCCGGGTATCAAACGTCTTCCGTCACATGGGCTATGAAGAGCAACTCTTCGAGGTTCAGTTGTATGTGAATGCACTGCGCTACCATTCCACTTTATTGTAAATCGGAAAATTTCCAGAGACAAACACTGGTATCGCTGTAATACTCCACTCGGAGTGTGCGATTGTTGCAAAATATACGACTGTTGTGTTTTGGAATAATGAATCGGTGGTTGTCCTGTGGAAAGTCTCTATGGAATTACCACTAATGGAGATGGGTGACGCCCCAGTGCTCGCATGAACATGGGGACATTTTCTTAGCTTGATTGTCGTATAATAGCCGTGAAATAATTACTAAACTTTTTTGTTATTTACCAGGGAAGGCCCACTAAGCTATATAACTCTTTTTTAGAAGCGATCTGGCCACGAATGATAGCAAAAACGAAGTGACTTATCGCTTGGAAATTTTTCGCAGCCAAATACTCCGAACGCATGTTTATATTCTAAATGTGGAGGGAAAAACCGGGGGATCCAGAGAAAAATCCACGCGACCACGGGAAGAATATGCAAACTCCAAATATGCTGATGTCAGGGTCGAGATCGAATCCACGACTTCGTGTATACCAGTCGAGGTAGTTAACATTTCGCTACCGTGGTAACTGTAATACAAGGTAATGGTACAGCCCCTGCAATTATTTGTGCCACTGCTGGTGAAAGGGCCTCTGCTAGAAATAGCTCTAGTGTGCTGTTCTAGAGGGTATTTTTGGTGAGCTCTGCCAAGCTTGCAAGACGCCTTGGAATAGGTTGTAGTAACCCACACTTTATCCTGCCGCTCGTAGAAAACAACCCCCACAAAACATCCTTTACATCATTCTGAAATTTAGTAGAGCACAATTATTACCGCACCGGTATTATTATTGCGTAATTAGTGCTCGTGAAGCCTTCTTCGCCGGCTGCCACGCCGCCCTGTTGCACAAGCGGCACTTAGTCTCGCGTGGCTGGGCCATGCTCCTGGCAAAGTGTTCGGTTTTTGGGTACCGCGTGTGCGCGCTCAAGAATTTGCCGGGCGATGACAACCCCTGCCCCCCCCACTCAACACTTAGGACGATCTCGTGCACAGACATGGGTAAACAGACAACGAAAACCATGGGGCCCATTTGGAAAATCATTTGTTTATTGCTACTATGACCAGTTTAGGTCACCATTGAAAAAGACATGCTTAGCTAAATGGCCGTTACCCAAAATAACTGCCTGACTGACTATATAGTTGGTGCACATTTGCATCTGGATTAAGGTCAGACTAAACCTAACCCAAGAGCATGATCTGGAATTCTAACGGGAATAATTGCACCACTCTGACCAAGCAGAAACAGTTGGCACTGACAGTTTGATGATCATACCTTGTCAGACTGCACTCATAGAGGTTGTTTACTGCTCCTGACATCTTTATGGCAATCTATGTTGATGGGGTGCTATTTTAGGCCCTCCTGAAAATCCACAATTATGCCACAGTCTGTCTACCTGTTGTAGGTGGGGGGGCGGGAGTGCATATCAGACTCGCCGTGGTACCAAGGTATATGCGGATACGTCCGTTATGTGAACGTCTGTTGAACACGACGTTTACCAGCACCGTACGCACGGATTGGTTACGAGACACAAGATTAAAGCGCAGACTCCTTTAAACGTTGAAAGCGTGCTTTACGTACGTTTAACTTCTTTCCCACCATACGTAGCTAAACGTGTTAATCGGAGGAGGTGCGGGGGCAGGACAACAAACTAAACGCAGAAGGCAGTTCTGAAAGAATGAGTCGTTCTAAAGAAATGCACCTGGGAAGTGAGCGAATGTACACGAGATGAAGAAACACCGCTTGAAAAGGTCGGATTTTGAACATCGATAGAAATAAGTAATATTTTAAAATACTTTTTTTTTAAACACGCTTTAATGAAATGTACTGTACTAGTAAGGGCAGAACTCTACGATCTTGATTTTTTATTAGAGTGTGCTGATTTTTAAAGGTGCATTAAAAATGTTATATTCTGCTACTGATACTCCTGCTGTTGTGGAGTGACTTATGCAGCCAACTACAGCTGCAAAGTTTGGTCGTACATGTTACGTGTATCGTTTATTGTTAAATTTAAATCACAGTTCCTATGATCACTGTTACATTGTTTTTATAGCCTTATTTTGGTGATTTTGAAAACGTTTTGTTTAGCCATGTTTGTTTGTTGTAGTACAGAGTTAGCCTAATAACTTTAATCTACATTGTCTTATGGTTGTTATTGTTTGACTTGCATCCCACTTGGATTTTTGCACATGGCGTTGGAATCCGGTGTTTATTCTGGAAGACTTTGCTGTTTTATCCAGGATTTTTCTGTTGTGATGTTTCTTGCTTTTTTTTTTGCGGTTGCACCCGAGTCAAGAGCGGCATGGCTCACAGGGTTATAAAACAACACATTCCTGCGGAGGGAGCTGGTAGGAACGTTGGGTTTCTCGGTCAATGGCCAGGGTCAACGGCGGCGTGGTGTATTCTGCAAATATGGCCGACTGTGAGGGCGGGCACAAGCTGACATGAGTAGGTTAAACGTTGAGTTTTATCAGGGCACCACGGGGTGACCAGCCCCTCCCCACCCAGCCCCACCCCTCCCCCTCCCCACCCAACCCCTCCCCACCCTCCCCACCCAGGCTCTCCCTGCACAACGGACGGACATAATAATCCCCTGTGGGCTGGTGTAACCAGAAGGTTCCTACCAGTATTAATGAAACTGAAACATGGACTGTTAGATAAGTATCTTGGCAAGCCCTGATATGTTGCTGTTACTGTCATTGTTTAGACCCCAAGTGAGTCTGCATTTAAAACATGCATAACGAACCTTTTTAAAGCTCTTAGAATATCAATAACATGTCTACAATGATTGTGTTCTGATTGCTGGCACAATTGTGCCCTACATTACATGTATTGAATGTTATTCAACATTGGGGAGGAGTCTGCCTTCATGTTCAGACACTTGCTGCTGCCATAGTTGTCTCCAATCTGAAGGCACAGCCACATGGATGGTATTTCTGACATCAAATAACCTGTGAAGTCATGCTCGGATTATAACAAATAATTTTAAGTCATTAGGGTCATATGACCCTAATGACGTACAAGGCATAGGGGGGGGGGGGGGGGCCTTTATCAAGCATTCTATTACAAATGGTCTGTACATTAACATGCATGTCTGAATTAGAGGTTAAATATTAAGTCTGGCGATGATGTTTAATGCAGGTGGAATAAACATTTTCACGTGGATAAATGAGTGATCGGACGAATGCATGATTGGGCAAACAAGCGAGTGAATGGCTTGTAAAGCAACAGGCATGGAATTTATTGAATTGGTACAGTGAGTGGTCAAATATGTAATAATTGAGAGGATGAGTAAGTCAAAAGGTTGCAAAATCTGAGCGTTGTTCCAACCTCCCCAGGCCATCCACCTTCAAACAGAATCTACTCCTTCCCAACAACATGGACAGCCAAATCAAGTGGGCTGAGATCTTAGAGGACTATGAGGGTAAGTCCCAGATACCTGCATCACATTGCTTATATGCCGAGAAGGAGGCTCCTTGATCAATTACTTTTAGTAGACATGGCTTGGTGGTGATGGGAAGACGTAATGAGCGAGTGTGGCTGAGAGGATGGGTTCAGATCTGAGTTTCAGCCATTTTTGTTTAAACTGGGGTCTCAAGCTAAACATGACTTGTAAAGTTGTACTGCCATGTGATGACTATTTCTCAATAGCAGGTCCTGTTGTGTGGTAAGAGGCAATTACAGCGATCTTAAAATTATTTCTGTGAAACTCCACGTCCTTCGTTCTCTAATTCATTACTCGTCGTTTGAATTCATTTTCTGTTCTTTGTAGGCCGGGAGTCGTCGTGTCAATCGACCACGTGGGGGGACATGGATAAGGTGGACCCTTTCCCAGGCCAAAGTTGCTACAAGCATCACTCCCCAAAGGTGTGGGGTCTGTGGGAGTCAAACACACAACATTCTCTCCAAAACTAGCACACCATCACACCAAAATATCACTACACCATCTCTTCACATTACCTTTCTCATGACACCACACCACCACGGCCAATTAAATGCACCATCATAGAGCCTCATCGTGTGTCTATACCATCACAAGACACCATCTCTCGAGAACATTCCACTACTTGACCTCTCCAAACAACAACACCATCTCCCGACATCATCACCCGATCTCTCCACCATCCCACTCATGCAAGCACTTGAAGTGGTAATTTATTACCAATGAAGACAGAATTATATAAATCAGTCACATTAATTGTCTGTTAGTTGATTTTGAAGTTGCCATTCCAGTTGCCCACTAATGGCACTACAGTGAAATGTGTCGTTATTATGGGCTACCAGATCTTTATAATGGAGCATTCTGTGGAAACTATTGCAGTGATGATTGTTGACAACAATTGCTATGAAATCTTCGCAGTCGATCACAGCCTTAAGTGCATGTATGGGGTTTGTGAGGATATATTTATATTTACACGATCTAACCCGAAAATATATTTATTATGGGTTTAGAGGATTAGCCTTTTAGGGGTATAGGTGTGTTAAGGGTTAGGCGTCTTGAGGGTTAGTTCTTTCGAGGGTTGTGGTTTAGATTGTTTGGGATTTAGGTTAGGGATTTAGGGTTTTAGAAGGTTAGGGTTTAGAGGTTCAGAGTGTTAGGGGTTCAGAGTGTTTACAGGCTTTGGTTTTTAATGGCTTAGAAGGTTTGGGTTCCAATGGTTAGGGGTTTAGAGGGTAATGGGTTTTTGGTGGGTTAGGGTGTAATGGTTGAGGGTTAGGGGCCTAGGAATTTAGAAGGTTGGAGGTTTAGACGGTTAGGGTTTTAAGGGTAAAGGGGTTTAGAGGGTTTAGGATTTAGAGGTTTAGGGTTTAGCAGGTTATGGGTTTAGAGGGTTAGGGGTTTAGATAGTTATGTGTTTGGATGTTTTAAGGGTTTATGGATTTTAATTGTTAGAGGTTTAGTGGTTTAGGTCTCTGTGTGAGTCTAACTGGTTTGTGTGATTCTATGGTAAGATTAATAGAGTTCATACTCTTTGGTTCTTTCGGTCAAGTCACGTAGGTAGAAATAAAATTAAACAAATCACGACGTATCGATCGCAACACAAGCGATCTTCATCAGGTGGGACAACCACAGCAAGAAAATACTGAAGTCGGCGGGAGAGCTGCCGTGGCAAGAGGTTATATAGTTAAGAGAGGGGGGAGGAGGCAAGGGGAAAGAGGGGGGGTGTGGGGTAGGGAGAGGGGGGGGCACATGAGCGCTAGGGGAAAAGGACTTGAGGCTGAGAGGGGGGGGGGGGAAGTGGGCGGGGCTAGAAGTGGGAAGGTGGTGGAAGAACAGATAGAGGACTTGAGGCTGGGGGGGGCGGGGGGTACGTGGGCATGGCTAGCAGTAAACCAGCAGGTAATCATGGATACAACAACAAGTTAAGGCATTACCTGGTTCATAACATCCTTCCAATGATTGTTCAATTTGTATCCATCTTCTCGGTTGAAGTTTTGTCTATGTTTATATATCTGGACGGCTTCATGAATAAACATTTGATAGTAGCCCGAAGGTTTGCAGAGTACTTTGGTCTCGGAAAATAACAATATCATGCGAGCCCACAGCGTTATAACAATGGTCAGCTACGGCAAAGGTATTGGTTCTGCCATGTTTTAGATCTGCCTTGTGTTTGCCAACACGGTCCGAGACGTGTCGTTTCGTTTCCCCAATGTAACTGCTACCGCAGGTACAACTCAGTTTGTAGACTCCAGGGTATTGCATGTCAGGAATGACCTCCTTCACAGATGGGATTAGATCACAGATTTTGTATACTGTATTGAATCGGACCTGGATCTTGTGTTTAAGATTTTGGAAATATTTTTGGTACACCTCCTATGTATGGTAAAGTGATGGTTTTGATTGGATTCTCAGGAGATTGTTTCTCCATGGTTGGAGAAACAGCTTTGCAAATAATCGGTACAAGTACCCATTCATCTTGAGGGCTTGGTGTACGTGTTCCAGTTCACTGGCTAGGTGGTGTTGGTCGGAGATGCAGTGGGTCCTATGGTGTAGTGTTTTGATTAGGCAATTCTTATGTGCTGGATGGTGGTGGGAATCAGGTTTTAGATAGGAATCTGTGTGGGTGGCTTTCCTGTAGACAATGTCCCAAGGATCCATCAGGTCTCCTCTCAAACAGAACATCTAAGAATTATAGTTTGCCATCTTTCTCCACTTCCATGGTGAATCTGATGGATGGGTGTCTGGAATTGATGTGGTCCAGGAAATGGTTCAATGCTGGGAGGCCATGTGGCCAAATGACGAAAGTGTCATCCACATACCTCTTCCACAGGGAAGGACGCAGGGTGGACGTCTGGATGGCGTCTGATTCAAACTTTTCCATAAACACATTGGCTATCACTGGTGACAAGGGGGAGCCCATAGGGGTACCCTAATTTTGTTTGTAGAAAGTACCATTCCAGGTGAAGTAAGTGTTGGTAAGGCAGTGCCTAACCAAAGTTGATACATCAGGATTCAGTCCATGATGGACTAAGTCTTCAATTATTACTAAGGTGTCAGGTACAGGAACCTTGGTGAACAGAGAGACTATATCAAAGCTGACAAGCATATATCATCTGGAGACAGTGAGATGCCCTTGATTAGAGAGATCAAGTCAGCTGAGTTACGTACTGCTGAGGTAGCCTTGCCCGTTAATGGCAGCAAACCATTCAAGCGGCTCTCCCTAAAACCTTCTGCTACTAGACCACCCTGTTTCTATGGTCTTCCAAAAATCCATAAGGTACTCCACTTTGGCCCGATTTCTGTCTGAGACCTTGCTTCCATTCACGGGTAAGGCTTCCTCAGCAGTACATAACTCAGCTGACTTGATCTCTCTAATCAAGGGCATCTCACTGCCTCCAGATAATTTGCTTTTCAGCTTTGATATAGGCTCTCTGTTTACCAAGATTCCTGTACCTGACACCTTAGCAATAATTCAAGACTTGGTCCAACATGGACTGAATCCTTATGTACCAACTTTGGTTAGGCACTGCCATACCAACACTTACTTCACCTGGAATGGTACTTTCTACAAACAAAATGAAGGTACCTCTATGGGTGTCCCCCCTTATCGCCAGTGATAGCGAATGTTTTCATGGAGAAATTTGAAACAGATGCCATCTAGACATCCACCCTACGTCCTTCCTTGTGGAAGATATATGTAGATGACACTTTCGTCATTTGGCCACATGGCCTGCCAGCATTGAATTAATTTCTCAACCACATCAATTCCATATACCCATCCATCAAATTCACCATGGAGGTGGAGAAGGATGGTAAGCTACCATTCCTGGATGTTCTGTTTGAGAAGAGGCCTGACGGCTCGTTGGGACACTATCCACAGGACAGCCGCCCACACAGATTCCTATCTAAAACGTGATTCCCACCACCATCTGGCACGTAAGGATTCCCTCATAAAACACTACACCATAGGGCCCACTGCATATCCGACCAACATTACCTAGCCAGTGACCTGGAACAGAATTACACCAAGCCCTCAAGATGAATAGGTACTTGGTCCGCATTATTCACAAAGCTGTTTCCCCAACCATGGAGAATCAATTTCCTGAGAATCCAATCAAAACCATCACTTTACCATACATAGCGGGTATACCAAAAACATTTACAAAATCTTAAACAAACACAAGATCCAGGTCCGATTCAATACAGTACTCAAAATCCGTGATCTAATCTAATCTGTGAATGAGGTCATTCCTGACATGCAATACCCTGGAGTCTACAAACTGAGTTGTACCTGCTGTAGCCGTTACTGGGAAAATGAAACGACATGTCTCGGAACGTGTTCGCGAACACAAGGCAGATCTGAAACATGGCAGAACCAATACCTCTGTCGTAGCTGACCATTGTTATAACGCTGTGAGCCCGCATGATATTGTTTTTCCGAGACCAAGGTACTCTGCAAACCTTCGGGCTACTATCAAAGGTTTGTTCATGAAGCCGTCCAGATATAAAAACAGACAAAACTTAAACCGAGAAGATGGATACGAATTGAAAAATCATTGGAATGCTGTTATCAACCAGGTAATGCCTTAACTTGTTGTTTTTTCCATAATTACCTGCCGGTTTACTGCTAGCCCAGCCCACGCCCCCCCCCACCCCTCAGCCTCATCTCTTCTTCCCCAAGAGCTCACGCCCCCCCCCCCTACCCCCCCTCTTCCCGTGCCTCCTCCCCCCTCTCTTACCTACATAACCTCTTGCCACGGCAGCTCTCCCGCCGACTTCAGCATTTTCTTGCTGTGGTTGTCCCACCTGATAAAGATCGCTTGTGTTGCAATCGAAGTGTCGTGATTTGTTTTATTTTATACCTACGTGACGTTACCAAAAGAACCAAAGAATATGGATTCCTGCAGTCACGAAAGCTTCAAATCAAGATTAAATGAGTTCAGTTTAATTTGTATATTTTTGAACAGTTTGTTTTGGCTTTTCTGTCGTGTTTTTGTATTTTTGTTCTGACCTGCCCGATTGGACGGCTGTGAAAACATCTTTGTAGCTCATCGGATTCATCCATTGTAAATAAATATTCAGATTGAAATTATATTGACCTCTGTGCGAGTATATGGATTTCTGAGTTTGTGGGTCTCTGTGAGTGTATGGGTCCCTGTGTCAGTATATGGGGTCTGTATGAGTTTATTCGTGTCTGAAGGAATGTATGGGTCTCTGTTGGAGTGTATGGATTTCTGGGTCTGAGTGGGAATTTATGGTTCTTTGAGCATGGTTGTTTGTGCGAGTCTTAAGTGCACAAATAGACCTTAAAAAGGGCATTGAGGGGTGCGGAATCCAAGTTGAATATTAAGCTCCCCGCAGTGCAAGCCAGCTCTCTAGTCGTATCATCATACAGCCCCTGTAATTCTTTATAATAATAAAATAGACTTACTCCAGGAAAGCCACGCTGAGTCATAGTAAGGTCCTGAATTTTGTTTTTATTGTAAGATGTTTTCAATCAATGAATGACGAGTGCTGACACAAGTGGGGGGAAACCGGAGCACCTGGAGAAAACCCACGTGTGTGCGAAGGGGCAGCATTTTAAACCGTACAGGTGACGATGGCGATGATCCCACTTGCTATACTGCTGGCCAGGAGAAGGCACCTCAACTTCTACGGGAAGGGGGTTTCACAACATTTAATGTGTCATCCACCAACCCATGCTGCCTTCTAGAGTGCTGGATCACAGGCTTGCGACACCACCGCCTGGCGAATAATTGTAGTTATTATTTAAAGCTATATAGCGCGCACAAGAACGACTCAAGCGGTGCGAGGAACCACAGACATGCAGGAAGGAAGTCACGCGGTGAGCTCATCCACTGCTCCGGATCCCACCTGAAAATGCCAGGCACAGATCTCCACATCATTAAAGCCACCTTGTGAATGGTGCCACGGGTGCATTTATCCCAGATATAAACAATTGTAAGTATTTAACATTTTTTTTTTTACTTTTACCAGGCAAGGCTCACTGAGCTATACAGCTCTCTTTCAGAAGCGGCCACACAATTACCGCTCAACAAATTGGCTTATTACGCGGACATTTATAGTAGCCAAATACTCTAAACACGTGTTTATAAATGTGGAAGGAAAACCCAGAGAACCCGGAGAAAAATGCACGGGACTATGGGGAGATGACATGCAAACTCCAAATACATAGGTGTCAGGGTAAGGATTGAATCCACGACCTCCTGGATACCCTGCGAAATAGTTAACATATCTCGCCACCGTAGCGCCCGATTGTGATCACATGACATAGCAAAATGCCGCGATGCATAGCAATAATTCAATTGGGCAATTAATGAGCCTTTATACACGTGCGGGGAAACAGGAGTACCCGGAGAAAACCCACTCATGCAAGGGGGCAACCCTTTATCCCATGCAGACAGAGATGGCGCTTATCCCACTCGCTGTACTGCCTTCTCCTGGCCAGCCAGGATATGCCACCTCAACACCCACTACACTATGAACTTTGTGAACCGAGTTTCAATTTCTGGCCACGGCTAACATCAGTGGCTATCTCCCTCTTCCTCTCCCGTCCCTCCTATTATCTCCCTCTTCTTCCCTCCTCCCTCCCACTATCTACCTCTCCAATCCGTCCCACTATGTCCCTCTTCCTCCCCCGTCCCTCCCCCGTCCCTCCCACCACCTCCCACTTCCTCCCCGGTCACTCCCACGATCTCCCTCTTCCTCCCTCGTCACCCCCACTATCTCCCTCTTCCTCCACCTTCCCTACCACTTTTTCCTTCTTCGCCCTCCGTTCCTCCCCCTATCTCACTCTTCCTCCCCCTTGGCTCCCACTAACTCCCTCTTCCTCCCCCATCACTCCCACTTTCTCCCTCTTCCTCCCCTGCTCATCCGAATATCTCCCTCTTCATCTTCGTCCCGACTACAATCTCCCTCTTCCTCCATCGACACCCCCACTCTCTCCCTCTTCCTCCCCCGTCCCTCCCACTATGTTCTTCTTCCTCTCCCATCCCTCCCACTATCTATCTCTTCCTCTCCTGTCCCTCCCACGATCTCCCTCATCCTCTCCCGTCCCTTCCGCACCTTCCTTATTTAACACCATCAAATTCACAGACTCGCCATCGCTTCTCCCAAGTCAAATAGCAGAGCTTAGACACAACCATGACCATGTGACACTGACGGCATCGACCGAGACAGTCAACAACTATCCGGCCGCAGCAATTATCTAATGAAGACGGCAGCGACTAAGTTGGCAAATACGACAGTGACGACGAGACGAGTCCACTTCCCAGAACCTGCAGCCACGAGCTCTCGCTCTCCGCTGCTTTTATCCTACTCGGCGCGGCCCGGCTCCGCCCTGGCCGCGCCCGCCTTCTCGAACCCACGAGCGGGTTCCAGGATCTTCCAGACAGGGTCTATGTGACCCTTGCCCCAGTTCCTCCGCCCTGCTGACACACCCGCGTAAAGCTCACCGGCGTGTGTACTCCCCGTCCACCGCAGTTGCGCTGCTGGACAACAACTATGACACTACAGTTTTACTGCCATTCTGTTCCGTGCCCCCGAAGCCATCAGCACAGACTCACAGCATCAACACAGACTTACATGATCAACAGACTCACTGCATCAATACGGGCTCACACCATCCACACGGACTCACAGCACCAATACTAACATAATAACAAACAAACAAAACATTACGATTGAGATCCAAAGGAGTGCAAGGCTGCAGTAAAGGTGAAGAACCACTGGCTGATGCTGCCCCGATGTCACTTATTCTTCTCTGCTGCCCCCCCCCCCTTCCATAGACTGGAACTCTCTAACCCCGACTCCCGCAGCCATCTGTGCTATCGGCTTCCTGCCCTTGTTCAAGTGCCATGCTCACGACCTTCCCTTTTGTCGTCATGCCTATGAGCGACTGCCCGCCGCTTTCAAAACGAATGTGCGCACTTCTTCTGTACTGCGTCTCTCTGAGATGTGGGTCCCATTCAAATGATTAATAAATAGTAAACAGTGGCTGTACTATGGATTTACTCATCGCTCCATAGTAATGTGGAATATTCGCCACGGCTCAAATCTGTAAGGAGGAGATAAGTGCCTGCCGTAGTTTCGTCGTTAATCCCACCACCACCCGACACAGCCAATTAGTGAGGTTTGTCACGTAAACAGAACATGCCAATTAATTACTAGTACAGCACACCGGTGTGTTGGAGTAGCCAAGCCACACCATTTATAAACTGAGTAGGACGTTTCGCAAGTAATTACAACCAGCTTCATCAGGCGACAGCCAGATTTGTGGAGAAGTCCACCTGCTTCGTTGTTCTATCGGTCCCGTCCGAGCACCGATGTGGAGGCCTAGAGGTGACGCTGACCTCAACACCCTCCCCTTGTCTCCCCCCCCCCTCTCTTCCCATCCCCCGCCCCACCCTCCAGTCGGCTCCTTCTGCGCGTGCACCAGCGCCAGCAACAGCACCTACTGGTGCATGCGCACCATGAACGAGACGCACAACACGCTGTTCTTCGAGTTCGTCATCGGCGTTGTTGAGTATTACGACCTCAACGTTGACCGCTACCAGGTGAGCGTGGCTTCCCCCCCACCCACACACACACAGAGGGAGCGCTCCATCTCACAGCGTGCAGCGCCACTCGTGCAGGGTCTCCACTCGAGAGAGCCCTCACGAGGCTATCTTCGCCTACTCTTCCTTGTGGCGAACATGCAAACATGAAACACCCTCCGATAATATGATGCATTGTATTTGAAACTGATTGGTCCGCACCAGAGACAAGCTTTCTTTTTTGAGCCTCGTCTCAACAGTTTTAGACCAGAGGACGCCAAAAGGCGAACAGCACAAAAACAATGCCACTATCAGGGCATTTATCGCTCGCGGTAGAGCTTGTTTTATATTCGCATGTTCACCACAAGTACGTGTGGTTAATGCAGACAGTATTTCTGGAAAGATGATTCTGTTTGGTGTTTTAACATCTTAACACAACTGTTTTATTGCCAGAAAGGGTAAAACCTATTGTTATATTTTGATACCGGCAAGAGAGGCCCCATATTTTAGTAAACTCAGTTGAAGTAGTCCATGGAGCACACCGACCACATCGTCTCCCCGTCTGCTCCCCCCCCTGGAACCGCCCCTCGCCCTACAGCTGACAAACACGGCACGCCGCTGCCGCAGCGCGACTTGAAGAGCTTCCAGGCGGAGCTCAAGGACCTGCGGGGCTGCCAAGGGCACAAGCAGTGCCACCCCGGGGCACCCAGGGATCTCCTGCCCTTGGACAGGAGCCGCCCGCAGCCCAGAGGTCAGCACACGGACAGCGGCTCCCTCGCCAATAAAGGATGAAGAGATATGCCCTGAAGAAAGGCCACTATCTGAATATGAGGTGGCAATGGTAAAGGTGCAGCCCTGCGGAAACCGTTCTTGTGCTCAGTTGCTGTCCCACCCCCCACACCTCCGATTAGTGTGGTTGGCTACATACGGTTACGAAATAAGTTAAACATGCACACATATATACCACACCTACCGTGCAGGTCATGTTCGTACGTGGACCTTTCGTATGTTGAACTTCTTTCGCACCGTGCGTAGCCTTACCGTGCCAATCCGGGTCGTGGTTGGCTACATACGGTGTGAAAGGAAGTTCAACATCCGTACATACATAGACTCGCTCATGCTACTGCTGGCAGGGAAGGGCCTCCACTACAGGGAGCTCTACAGGGCCCCGACTTTATCTCCGACACTGGACAGGCGTCCTGGAGAATGTGAGAGTAGCCACATTGTACCGCAGGACAAGAGAACCTGAGAGTCAACTCACTGCAATGTACCCATTTTAACTGCTGAGTGGACAGAACTTGGCCATCGTTTCGACTGTTTGGCCAGTTCCTTCGTCAGAGTTCACAAGTGGGAGGGAACCAGAATGAACAAGGGTGATAGGAAATTATTGTACTTAAATTAATCCTATTATAAAAATAACTATATTAAGAAACGTAAAATTATAAAGGGGGCTGATTCGTGCAGCTATTTCAGCTGTCACCCCACCACTCTTTGGTAGAGAAGCATTGCCAATTCACGCGGGGAAAGGGGGAGGGGGGAGTGATTCCGCACAAAAACCGCGACCAATTCCGATGCCAACCGTCCCGTGGAGGCAGAATAGGGTCAAGGGCTCTGCACGCCATCGTGCAGAGCCGTGTCTCTTACGCTGAGCGACGTGGCTTGGTAGTGGGAGCACTGGGAGGGTGCATGGCAGCCCGTTCTGCCCCAGGTGTCATGCACGTTTCTTGCCGCCGCAGTCGCAAGAGTAGGTGATGGATGGATCAGAATCAGAATCTTTATCTCTCCTGGATAAATACGATGAGCTGTGAAGCTCTTTTTCACGGATGTGTGGAGTTGTTTCTCAGACGTCCAGCATATGAGCCACCTGCTGCTTTCATAATGGCGACGTGCAACAGGGTGTTGAGCGTGGCACATGGATAATAATGCTTCGACTACGAATAATAATGACGCTTTCACAATTGAAGATGAACAAGCAGCTCATTGTTACACATTCCTACTGTCCGTAATATAAATCAATGGGCGGTAGAGTGGCGCAGTGTCAACGCTTGTGCCTGAGAGCAAGAGGGTCCTGGGTTTGACTTCTAACTTGGGCATCTTACGGCTTTGTTCGTGCGTTCTCCCCCCCCCCCCCCCCTGCAGTGATATTCGCTGGGTTTTACAGTTTCCTCCCAAACTACAATGTGACTGGTGTTGGGCCGAAAATTCCAATCCTGAAAAATGGCCTCAAAATTATTCGATTGGGATGACACACCACACAGCAACATCGCCCCCTCCTGCAAAAACATGGCACGACCTTTTTGCAAAAAAGTCTTAATCAGTGCTTTATATATACACGTCACAATACTGCAAAAACCCGCAACTAACGAAGGTTGTCACAATACTGCAAAAATGTCACAATACTGCAAAAACCCGCAACTAACGAAGGTTGTCACAATACTGCAAAAATGTCACAATACTGCAAAAACCCGCAACTAACGAAGGTTAAAACATTGCTTGAGTTGGTTTTCTGCCAATTAATGAGATACCAAAGGCTCCAACTGTAAAATTAAGCATCAAATATATCCTGAGGTCAGCGAGATAAGCGTCCAGGGCCATCATACGCAGCCGTCTTGTTTCTGTTGCGATGCTAACGTGGCTTCTTCTTCGCGGGAATCAATCTTCTAAATTCATTCATGTACACACGTAGGCTTTCGCGACCAATATTATTCATAATAAAGTTTTTGCGTTAGATCGCTGCTGCTCTATTTTAGACCGGGAGCAAGAGCAGAGCCTCATCATTCTGGCGAATTGCCCGATTATACTGGATGCAATTACCAGCGAAACGTCGTACTCAAAAATTGTAAATGTTGTGGTTTCACTCTTCAACACACCGGCGGGCTAAAGTAGTGAACTATTTGTCTTTTGTCAACGTGACACTTTTTTGCTGATTGGCCGTGTCGGGTGGTGGAGGGTTACGACACATTTATAAATAACGCGATCTAACTCAAAAACTTTATTATGAATCATTCATGTACGCTATCGCTTGACATGTTTGGGCCTCAAGCCATCTGTGTGTTCAATACGGGCTATTATAATTCCACCTGTGTCCGCTTTGTTTGACAGGGACCAGACTTGGGCTGGCTGACGAACTTGCACCGAATTGAAAGAAACTAGACGAGGAGGAAGAAGAATAAAAGTGAGAAGTTTAAAAGAGACTTGAATTGGCCAGTTCAGACCTCACAAGTGAAGCCTGACTTGGCACGAGGACTGCAAAACGTAAGACTTGTGCACCGGGTTGTCTGTAAAGTATGACCCACCCCCACCCACCCCTCTGCAGACAAAAGCTGCGCGTTGCTTCGACTTAACCATGACGCCTCTCAATGTCTCCATGGACCTTGCCTCCTTGCGGAGCTGCCAACAATAAAATGAAGAGTGTCCGTGGAGTCTCTGACGATGGCAACGGAGGTTGTGCGTGTGTTGCGCCCGCCCTCTGCGGACGTTGGGAATGATGTCAACGGTGTGCGAGAGGCCACATGGGCACAGATTCGCACGTGCACTGACAAATGCAGTATTTCTGTATTTACAGGGTGGTCCACAAAGTGAGGACACAGAGGTGCTGATTTCATTTATTTTAACACTGGCATTAAAACGTTTTCTTTTCTCTTTAAGTTAATATTGTGTCTATTATCATTATTAATGTTTTTTTTTGTGTTCAGATAACATTCAGTAGAATTCATTGAGACGAAATAATTGTACATAAAGCACGCATTAATGTTAATGGGAATCCGTTTGAACGTTAATTGAAATATACCAAATAGCCTGGATGTCATTTGTTAAAATAAACAAAAACCTACGTGTGCTGACTTATGGTCCATCCTGTACATATGTAGTAAGTTGCAGGAGGCTTGGACGACGTAGTTGGAGGCACACGTATTCATTAACACCAACGTATTTACAGAGCCGGGGATACACAACACTTGAAGGGGTATCGGCCCCTTCACCCGTCTAACAGGGAGACCCAACGTCTATCCCGGCTAGCCTACTCCCAGGTCCTCCACTCCAGAGCTAAGGGAGGCTATCTATCCCAGCCCTGGTCAAGCTGGGATTCCCGGCACTCTGAGTCTCCAGACCGGCTCTTATAAAAACATCAGTCTGGGCTCTCGGGGCCGCGCCACCGGCTTTCCCTGGGCAGTCCTGACAAGGACAGCGAGCCAGGGTAGTTCCGGGGACTACTCTAGCTGTCCTTCAATCTTCGCTGGTTAAAGCTAACACTCGACCTCGAGCCCTCCGGCTCACCACCGTTTATATCAATCGGCCCCCGGGGGGGGGTCTGTGGGAGATGCAGGTGCGGACGTCGGTGCGAGCACCTTCTCTGTGTACGGCCATAACCACGCCCCTTGTGTTTGTTACCCATCCGTGCCAATACACCTTTACAAATACACCTCTACACATACACACACGCATTGTGTGTGATAGCAGGTACCACCACAGTCAGTATGCACTGCTGTAATCATAGCAGGTACCACCACAGTCAGTATGCACTGCTGTAGTGATAGCAGGTACCACCACAGTCAGTATCCACTGCTATGGTGATAGCAGGTACCACCTCAGTCAGTATGCACTGCTGTAGTGATAGCAGGTACCACCACAGTCAGTATCCACTGCTGTGGTGATAGCAGGTACCACCTCAGTCAGTATGCACTGCTGTGGTGATAGCAGGTACCACCACAGTCGGTATGCACTGCTGTGGTGATAGCAGGTACCACCTCAGTCGGTATGCACTGCTGTCATCATAGCAGTTTCTAGATTTGAAGCTTTCGTGACTGCAATGATTCATATTCTTAGGTTTTTTCGGTAAAGTCACGTAGGTAAAAATAAAAATGTATATAAGTAAAATAAATAAAATAAAAATAAAAATCACGACGTTTCGGAGGCAACACAAGCTACCGTCTTCAGGTGGATCCGTCACAGCACGACAGCTGTATCAAGTAAATGAGAGATTTCAACAGATACCACTCCGTATATATAATGGTCGAGGGGGGGGTGGGCCAGGAACGGCCCACTTTTTATTATTATGGTAAGGTGCGGCTTGAGACTACGGCTAGATTACATAACAAATGACTGAGCCTTTATTTTTCTTTTATTTATTTTACTTTTATTAATTTTAATTTTTACCTACGTGACTTTACCAAAAAAACCTAAGAATATGAACATCATAGCAGGTATCACCACAGTCAGTTTGCACTGCTGTCATCATAGCAGGTACCACCACAGTCGGTATGCACTGCTGCAGAGGCGTAGCTGGGGGGGGACAGGGGGGTACATATGTCCCCGGGCGCCAAGGTAAAGGGGCGCCAAAATGACGCTTACAACGTTACATTATAACTTATTGCGGCGGGCGCGGCAGCCTGAAACGACTGCACAAATCTACACCTCAACCTAAAAGTTGATATATCCCGCCACACACAGCCTACATGTCATGTAATTACATTTTGGTATGTGATTAAACGGGGGGGGGGGGGGGGGGCGCCAATTTTATAGTTCGTCCCCGGGCGCAAAATATCCTAGCTACGCCACTGCACTGTTGTATTGATAGCAGGTACCACCACAGTCAGTGTGCACTGCTGTAGTGATAGCAGGTACTACCGCAGTCAGTATCCACTGCTGTAGTGATGGCAGGTACCACCACAGTCAGTATGCACTGCTGTAAT